ACATGTGGACTCAAACTATTTTCAATAGCGGTCATCCGTTGAACGGAAACATTTCGTTCAAGAATTACGGAAATTCCGTCATTAGTGCTACGAAAGTACATAGATAAAGACAGCAGACAAATAGGAATATACAGATATGCTTAATTAGAATGGCTAGGCGTAATAAGAAGTGGGTTTATCTTGAGCCGTTTTGCATGTTTTGAACATCTGCAAACAAAATAAAATCGTCGTTTCAACATTTTTGAGAAAAGTCTGTCTCGAATTGCATTTTGACTATATTAACGTGGCGTGCCGACCCAAGTTTCCAGCGCATTTGGATCTTACACTGAGCTTTAGTTTATTTCTACTTCATTTGTTATTTTATGCATTTCCGGTTTTCCAAGTTCTTCCTTAGTGCTCAAGATAATGTTTAAGTATGATATGATAGGTTTAGGAGGATTATCACACGGAAACTTTGAGTACTACTGGTGTAATGGTTACCAAAGCCAACCTTTCAAAGCGAGATTGGAAATCGATTTAAAGTTTAATGGTGACAAATACCCTTACGTCACTTTCTTTTTTCTTACAATGGAAAGCAGAACTCTTTCACGACAAAAAGAATTTTAGGTTTAAATAAAACTCGTCCACCCTTTTCTTTTTTACTTATACATACATATATGTGTATATATAACTATGCTAATTTATGGTAATAGACGGAAAAAATGTCAGTACAAATCCCGTATGCCAACGGCGGTATGATGACCCATTTACGTACCCAATCGCTTGTTACAAATGGCGCTATCATTGCTCTAATACGGCCAAAACATGAGCACAAAATATACTAGTTTTTCGCACTACAATTAGAAATATTTCGGTTGCATATACGTACGGACTTGGAAAGCGAGTGTCAAATTAGCGAAACGGATTACGGCAAGCAACACAAGTGTAGAATTTGAACTCATTATGTAAGTAATTAGCAAAAAATTTAAAGCACTAATGAAATTCGAGATTATTGACGATAAGCGGCGCCACAAAAATTTAATGGCTAATATAGAAATTATACACCCTGGCATGCTTGCCACACCGATTATAAATACATTGAGGAATACATTGTCATTTAGTCTTGATATATATTGGGTCGAACCATAGAAAAATATATAGCATTTTAGCCATAATTTTGGTATTCTTGCGTTGGTTTAGTGTAGGAAAAAAGTCGAGATAGGTCCCACATCTATTGGCAAGTTGCGATAAGTTGCTTACATTCGCGTGCGTATAAGCATTATATTTTCAGTAGGCCGACTCAGGGACCTGTGGTAAACAGCCATACCTATGTACATAGCTAATACCGCACAAAGAGGAAAAGCTTCGTGGGAAAGAGGCAAATAATGACACAATACAAAACGGAAGACAAAAAAGTCCATGAGACCATTAATCTTCATGATTAGGATAAAGCTACAAGTGCTGCCAACGCCAGTATATGTACTTAATAAAGAAATTACTTTGGCATTTAACTTTATTGTCATTTGTCCGCCAGTGGCAATGGCAGTTAAAGATCTGAATATAATAAACATGTACCGAAAAAAATGCCGCCATACCAAATACGAACTTTAGTGCAAATTCTGCAAGAAGGACCGTCCAACGACCTTACCTAAAAAAAAAAAATCACATGTTCACCCACTTAATCTAAACTTAACCTCTTGATTGTTCCCTAAAAATGGAAAAATTTTGTTGCTACTGTGACAAATTTTCATATCAGTAAATACGATTGGTCTCCAAAGAGGAAAGCGCTGGCAAAACAAATCAAATGTCGAGAAAATCGAACGGTTAAAGTCAACTGTTTTGCATTGCTTTCAGCACGGATCAGCCTTCCATGGCTCTGTGCAATAGTATTTAGTTTTTGCAGCCACAAATAGATGACTTTTACGAAACCATTAGGAACTCTTGTTAAAAATAATAACATACAGTAGAAGCATTAATAGCGGCTCATGTCATCCAATTGCACAATAACATGTACTCCTGAGTAAGAATAAAATAAATTGAATTATGAGATTAATTCGACCATTATTTAAAAACAATAGTTAGCCAAAGCAAGGTCACAGAAAACATCAGGTTATGTCGATTTGGTGATGAATATGCGCAATGTATGGTATGTATGGTGGTATTCGTGCGCAACGAGGCATATAATGATGAATATGCGCAACATATCGGGAACTTTGATGATATCGAAGTATTGCTATTAAGCACATTGAGACAATCTCGTGTAACCGCGGAAAATGCGGTGCATATATTGAAAAAGGAAGTATGTAAACAATTTCACCAACGGGATCGCATAAATTGTCATGATTTATGTATAGGTATGCTGAAGTGTATGGTATGCCATTAACCGTTGTATAATCAGGCATCAGTGGTGATATTAGGCCATGCACGTCCAATGTTCTGCTCATTAACAGTAAGAACGTTTAGCAAATGAGGAATTCAAAAATACTAATAATAATGAAGAGGTTAATAAAAGTTCATTTGACGCAGGTGCCGAAGATGACTACAAATTGTTGTACTACTCTACACAAACTGATAAAATTCAGCTACAACCAATGTTACAATTAGTAAAACCAAGCTCTGCAATTCGGAACAAAGCCATAATTTTGACTTTGTACATTTTAACGCAAATATTGGAGAATTAGGGACTTTACCATTGAAGTGGCCACGTCGTAAACTCTAAATAAACTAGAACCGTTATCCTAATAGTACACTAAAATTAAGGTAATCATGATTTGCTTTATTTACAAACAGCATGTTTAAAAATGCACTTTGTGTGCAAATGACCTGTGTGCCTACAGACCTCATTAAGTTAGTAAACTGAAAACATTTATATACAGAAAGAATTTTTTAAAATATATTATCTATAAATTATTTATTATTTGGTTCAAAAAAAACATCGACAATTTTTTTCGAAAAATTTTAATTATTTCATTTTTTTCTACTCACTACTTAAGATTTTAATCTGCAGTAATAAAATTACCTAGTTACCTAATATTGGGCGAAAAGAGTGGGTGTGGTATATGTTATTCCCGCTGCTACTAGCGTACTTACCTTCTCGTTTTTTTTTTTTCATTCTCTTTATCTTCAGTTTTCTTCTCTTTCCCTTTAGATTGTTTAAGAACATTATTAGAACATGTTATTATAGTTTATTATTGCACCTATGGTGCACCACTCTAATTTATCATAATAGGCGTTAATGGCTTAGAGATTACATAAGCGTCAACAAATAAGTAAATAAATAAATAAAATAAATCAAAAAATTGATTGATAATCTACACAGACGTACATATATAAAGGCGTTGAAGCATTCTTCCGTAAAAAAAATTTAAATGGGAAATTTAATATTCTTTTTTATTATTTATTTTTATTTATCCATTTATTAAGTATGTTTTTTGTAAACAATTACACAAGCGACAATAAGTCAACGTCGCCATACCACAAAGCTTAGTCAAAAGCAATTACATCTATATCCGTAAATTCACGTTTCAAAGGAAAATAATTAAACAACACTTAAGCACCATCCTGGTGCTTTGCACCGAATTTCGAGACTTCACTAAACCAACGCTTACTAGTAGTCATGTTGAACCCATTTTTATTGATTATTATCATCTAAACCGCTATATATCATAATAAGTCGCGAGATTGTATGTGCAATAGGCTTAAGTGAAAGTCTCGCCAAGTAGAGAACAGCTTTTTGTTGGGAAGAGTTGAAGAAAGTGACGATGCTCAAATGAAAACTTAAAAACTCAGAAGCTTACGAGAGCCAAAATTGGTAATTTCTAGTCTTCTAATGTCAAATTCTATTGATGGCAAAAAAGAGAAAATCACTCTCTCTTGTCCTCTTGTTGCGCATTGCTAATTATTCATCCTAAAATCAACTTGCAAACAAGAGCACTAGTAAGGAAAAATTAGTAAGAAAGAAGATTGAAAAAAAGGAAATCAGTAATTTACAGTCAGCAAACATTGACAGTAGTAATAAATAGAGGGATAAGTGATGATATAGAGACCAAGTAATGCTCTGTCAATGACATCGCGAGAATTTTCTCTTAACAAGTTTCTGGCGATAATTAAGTCTGTTAATAGCTCAATAATTTTTATGAAAAAATTACAGGAGGTCAAACTCGCGCTTCTTATAAAGAAAACCTTAAGAAATAGTTGACCCGATCTATTCTTTCCTAAACGCACCACGTAGCTCGATAAATGTTGTCTTCTAAATATATTGTGTATGGGATTTTTATGCTTTCTCACCGAATTTCGAATCGATTTAGCTACATTTTAGTGTCTACTCCTATATCCAAAATTTAAAACCAAAATCTTTTAGGCACGTTCTACTAACACACATTCATAGTTGGCAAATAGCTCTCTTCTTAAAGACTTGACTTAAGAAATAACTTCATAACTTAATTTCTAATACCCTATCTAATATATATGACACGACGACAATGTACGACCATCATTGTTGTTCGCCTGATCCGTTCGACACTCCCTTTTTTCGAAGGCTAAGGTAAATAATTACAGACAAAGACTTCGGGTAAATTCCGGACATAAAAGCTCTTCGATGAAGCGGAAAAGTATGCTTCAATGGGCTTACCAAAAATGCGTATGCTACTTAGCCTCGCTAGCTGTGAACGCAATAACACAGTTTTGATCAAAAATTTTATCTACTTTTTCTTAACAATTTTAGACAGACTTTTACATAGAATGTATGTCATTACATTAAATATATTTTAGTATAGTATGTTTCCTTTTTATGTGTAGTAAATTTTTAGTACACTAAATTTTCGAAAGGCATACAATCGTGTGTTTGACAGCTGATATACGTTTTCACATATTGTACACGTTTTAGATCTATATATTTGTTCAAAATTTTCTTTTTTTCGCATGATTTTTCAAAAACTTGGATATATATTGTAAACGATACCCAGATGAGTATGATATATGAAATAATCTTTTTTTTTTATTTCTAGATGTATTTCTCTGTCTCAATTTTCGGTTTTTGGTTTCCTTTGGTGTTTGCGGATTGCTTCGCCGTCTCCTAAAGTTTCGGGTACTGGTCGACCTCTGGTTTCGGGTAAAAGGAACGTTAAAAGAAACCCCACACCAGCAATAACTCCGTAAACTAATGGCGGTATAATGGATGAATATAAAGCCAAATCACTTGTTACAAATGGTGCCATCATCGAACCGATACGACCAACGCTAGAACATAAACCCACACCAGTCGTTCTAACTACAGTCGGAAATATTTCACCAGCGTACAAATATAAATTCGGAAAAGTCACCGTCGCACCAAAAAGACCGATTACAGCAAATGTCATCACAATAACATTGTTAAACGCGGTAATACAACCAATTACCAAGAAACAAATAGCGCTCACCAGATTCGACAAAATCAACGACAAACGGCGTCCTAAGTATTTAGTCATGTAAATACACACTATGCAGCCCGGTATACCCAATGCACCACTAATAAATACGTTAATGAATATATTACCGCCTAAGTTTGATATATATTCAGCCGCTCCATATAGCACCATGCAGGCGTTCAACCACTGGTAGACCATTACTATAGTATTTAAGCGTAGACTAGGCGTTCGAAACAAATCAACAATGGTACCCGTCTTCTTAGTGTCGGACGATACAAATTGTTCGTAGGCAGCTTGCATTTTGGGTAGTATTTGTTCTAAATCTTCTGCAGGGCGACCATTTCTCTTTGCGATCGTTTCTACTACCGATATTGCTCTGTTCAAACGACCTGTGGTGAAAAGCCAGCGTGGCGATTCATATATGAAGCATGCGTACATCAGGTAAAGAAATGAAATTGATGAAACGGCCAGATAGAGATGATGCCAATCCCGCAGGTAATAGGAAAATAATGGCAATAGAGCGTAGCCAATGAAGAAAGGTATTTGATATAAAATGGACATTGCTTCACGATAACGGGGACCGATAATTTCCATGATTATAACAAAGCTTTAAATTTCGTAATAATTAGCAAATATTTTCGAATAATAGAAAATTTTCTTTCAACCTTGTAGTCATTTGCCCACCAGTATGAACCGCATGGAGAAATCTTAAAACAATGTACATGCCGTAATTTAGTGAAAATGCAGTCGTCATACCACAAATTAGTTGTAGCACGCATTCTGTAATGAAAATCGGACGTCGTCCATATCTAAGGGCAAAGAGCGGAAATAAAATTTGTGTGATGGATTATTAAGAAGAATTTAAGAATTTAATTGTAGGTTTACGCTGTAGGACGACACCTATAACCTAAAATTTCTTCTATTTGATTTTTAGCCATGTGTTTCACTTTATTAATAATTAGTTTAGCTTATTAATTTTCACATGTCGCCTTATTGCGTGTTTCAATTTCAATTGTTCCACCATTTGAACATAGGCCTTAATATTTAATAAATTCTGTTTTTATTCTGCGAAACTTCCCCAAAATATTTGTTTGCGAAGAAGTGTACCTTTACTAATTTTTGTGATGCGTATTCAGACTGATAATCTTAACTCAACTTCCAAAAAAGGAGATATTCAGACGAATGCGTTTGAAATTGCTTTGGGTGCTGAAAAATGGCAATTCTCCAATTAAAAATAAAAAAGGGAATAATACACCAAAATGGCAAAGAATTGCTTGCAACATTGAATGGATTAAGAGGTTGGAAAATATGAATAACGCCCAAGCCAAGAAGCGTGCAATACATAGTTTATCGAGAAACTTATTGGAGAGATTGGAGAAAATTATTGGAAAAATAGGAAATGATTAGTTAATACTTCCGAAACGAAGAGCTTCACCCACAACTCTATTCGCTCAAGCGACTATTACAAATATTTTCACGGTTAACGTGCAACTACTAACAATTACGTTGCTCATGCTATCAAGTTCAGAATATTTTTAAAAATTTTTGTCAAAATTTTAAGCTTACTTATCTGATAATATGCCATATACGATTGCGCCGACCATAATGCCGCCCATTACAGCAGATTGTGTTAAACTTGAGAGCCAATAACGACCGCAAGTCAAGTCGAATGTTATTTCAATAGTTTCTGAAAAAACCGAGCGATTGAAGTCAGCTGTCTCGCATCCCTTTGTACATGGATCAGCATCCAAAGGATCTTTGCAGTAGTAATCAGCCTTGCCACTCACAAAGAGGTGTGCCAAGGTTACCCAAGCCGACGGGAATTTCGCCACAAATATTATCAGACAATAAAATAACTGATAACGACCTAAATCGCCCAAGTGGACGATAATCGGATCGGCGCGTACTTTTTTTAAGATATTGATACACAGTAGACTTTTAGTATACTTCTTAAAGGACAAATAAAAGAAAACGTACCGGGTTCCTTCTCCATTTCATTAAAATTATATCACTGTTAGCTAATATATGAGAAGAGAAATATATAAAAATTTAATGAAATATGAAAAACAGAAAATGACTAATAAGGCGTCGATATTATTATATATTATTTATATAGAGACGGACACTTTCATCAGTATTCAATAGTTATCGTTTTCATTAGAGTTCAAGGCTGCTTTTCCCCCATTTTCTTCATTACGGTAAAAAATTTCTTAGATTTCTTTAAATAGAAAAATCAATACAATTTTCGAAATTCCGAAGAATCTTCAACGGTAAAGCTGCATTGTGTTGAAGTTGCCATTGTGGCTGCATCTTCAGAAAATGTGTATAAAGTTAAGATGTTTATTTTTTCATTATTATGTCCATCACCTAAGAATGAGGAGTATATTCATTTTTTCAAAACGTTTGCAACGCTCGGAAAGAAACATCAGAGATCCTACAAAGCGTGTCCGCTTGTCTGTCTGACCGTCTATCCGTCTGTAAAGTTTCCGTTGTAAACATTCTCTTGGCCTCAAAAATGACTTCAAATTTGGTAGAAACAGTGAAAATTCTTGCACTCAGGCTGGTGTTCAGAATAGGCCAGATCGGTGGAAGGACACGCCCATCGCACTACGTAAACTGAAAACACCAAAGTTTTTTAAAGGAAATGAAAAATTGGTTTTTTGCTCATCACTCTTAAACTATAGCAATTAAATCGACAAAAATTTGAAGGCATATTCAATGAGCGATGCTATAGCCTCTGTGCACAAAAATTAAAAAAATTTACAACGCATACCCAATTTCATAGTATATGAAAATTTAATTATTTTTTCAATACCTTTATAACATGCAGAAACAAGATTCAAAAACACCAATATATATATACACACGCGTGGCCGGTTACAACCCTTGAACCCACCTAAACATGTCCACCTGTTCGTCTGACCATCTCTCTGTTTGCGAAAGTTTTTAGTATTCTCCCGTTAGCGAAAATGAAGATACCGCCTAAAAATTTGCAAAAGAATTTGGAATTAAACTTAACTTTTCAAAGCACACGCCTGCAAGGTCCACATTCCTCTACGAGAAAGACTTTTATTTTGAAAATAGAAGAAATCAACTGCGACCCCTCCCTATTATAGAGCATTCGAGTTTTATTTTTTTATTTCTTTTCTGTTTTTTTTGGGATGAACGATGATAGGTATAAAAGATTCGGTCCCGACCGAATTTAATTTTTAATAGATTCATAGTAGTTTTCGTGGTTCGGTTCAATACGGTCATCTGCCTTCTCACATAGTTCGTCATTTATAAGTTCCAAGGGACGCTTGCAAATTTATTTTTTAGACACGGGATAATCTAGTAGGCCGAACCGTCCAATTTGGGAAATGTCGAAGCGAGAAACATTCTCCCTAAATAATTTAATTAAAGCGGAATGGATTAAGCTGGAAATATATCCGCCTGAGCGGCCGAGTAGGCACGAGTCTCGACCAGCAACTCAATGGTCGTAGGTTCAAATCTCAAGTGCGGTAGAGTTTTTAATAAAGCCGAAAGCCTTGGATGCTAATGCTTTAAGGCTTTAGTCTTAGAATTTATTCTCTGGCTAAATTTATAACGATTATAATAATAATAATAATAAGCTAGAAAAAGATCAACTATTAGGTGTGCAACCAAAATTCTGCCTGAATTATAGTTAATGAAAGTTGTTAAATTTGAGGAGAAATAAAAAAATTATTTGTTCGAAACATTGCTCCGTACTGGTCCACCGGTTTTCCCATCTTTTAGGTACAAAAAAATTTCTGTGGGTTCCCTGTTGTGTACAAGAAGTTCCATTTTTGTCCAGCGTTATGATAATGAAAGCCCTGCTCGAACAAACAAGACGTCATCGATTATAATCATAGTTAGTCAGAATGAATAACGATTGACGATAACAGCGGGAAAGATTCCCGCATTTCATATTAGTAGTGTTAACGTTCCCTGGCAAGTTTTGTCGTATGGGACGTAACTTCTTAACGCCGAGATATCACATTAGCACGACTTTTAGTATACTTTTGCCGTTTTCTTTCTCATTGTCATCAGTTGTTTTCAGTCGCGCTCTGTAATGATGATTTCGTTTGTAAGAGCGTAAGGCGAATAAGCCCAAGGCAAACTGGATTAGTCAACCTAAGCAGACTGACCGACTCTGCATAAGCGTCGGCTTGAGTAAACTGGTCGATTCAACTTAAGCAGATGCCTGATGTCCGTACGCTTACCTTGTGCTCATTCTATAGATCGCAATTTTCGTTTAGATCGCAAAATTTCATATTCGGACGACATTTGGTATATCGATATGTTTTGACCCACATCCTTCTCCTTTCTCGTACTTCCGTGTAAATCTTTCCCAATTGTAACTGATTTTCGAGCCTAACATGGCAACTTTAAATACGAAATACGCTCCAAAAAAAATTGCTGTCTTAAAATTCCCGAAAAATATTTATTTACTCATCAATATACAGAATACAGTACAGTATATAGTAATCCTCGTTAGATTTAAGACTCTTATGCTCGCACTTTTGATATGCGCTTTTTGGCAAGACCTTGAGGTCTTTCAGCGGTGCGGTCTTTAGCCCCTTAATCTGGGCAAAATCCCGCCATTTCATTAGCCTTTTCAGTTTTGGGAACAGGAAGATATCGCAAGTGACCATGTTCAATTATTACGTACGTATTATTACGCACAATTATTTTAAAAAAAATATCTGCAGCATGAGTGAAATTTGCCGCAGATATCACGAACTAAACGGTTTACATTCCAGCAGAATATGCTGCGATTATATCACAATCTTCACAAAAAAGGTGCCCACCTTCGAATGACTACACACCGGACAGCGATAACATTTGAATATAATACAAACGGCTGCTTTGGATACCAACCTGTTCCTGAAAATCTTCAATTAAACCAAGTGACTCATAAAATCAACAATAAAGTCTAATTCTCCTCCGCCACGTGCAGCTTCATCCAAACAAACAACCAAATCAAAAACAACAAATATAATAACAGCAATATTGATTCTTTAACTTTAACAATAACCAAAGCGACACCTCTGATGACGACGCGTACATATCGATTTAACAGCCAAACCCAACACGATAATGCAATCAAGAAGCGACTTTAACACTAGAGCTGCCAATTTTTTGCATATCTCTATTTCTACCGCCCCTATTTTTGGCGACTTGTGAAAGTAAGCTGAAATTTGGTAAAAACATTCCTTAGTCGATTAAGAATCCAATACTAGAATAATGGTTGCGATCTGTTCAAACATACGCCCACTATATATGCGAAACTGAAATAACCTCAAAAAAAACCATCATTTTCTCATAGTTTTATCTATAACTTTCGAGAGTGATTTGTGTAACGCCGTGAGAGTTAACAAGAAGTCAGAAAAGAGAAAGTAAGAAAAAAATAGGGAGGCGATGGCGCAGCTTAGTGGATGTTTGCTCAATCGATAACTGTTATGGCTTTGCCAACTGAGCACACACTATAACTATTAGCAAACTAAGCTGCATCTATAAACTCTATATCTAATGTTATTATAGCATCAGTTTATCTAGTAAAGAGTTGTTATCTCCTTTTAAATTTATCATATATTTATTTTTTATACTCAAAATTAACATTACTCTTATATAATAATATAAATTCTTTAAAAAAAAAAAAAAAATCACTTTATAACGGTAGCTAGCAAACAAAGCGATAGTTTAAGATATTTGAAAGTGCTTCGACAGTATTTTGTATAGAAGAAATTATTAATGCTTTCGATCACATTTCAATTTTGGATTTGTTGGTTTGCTTTTTGCCAAGGGCTTCACCATCTGCTAATGTCTCAACTATCGGTAGTCCTCTCGTTTCCGGCAAAAGGAATGTCAACACAAAACCGATAGCGGCAATAACTCCATAAACTAACGGTGGTATAACGGGCGACTTTAAAGCCAAATCACTTGCAACAAATGGCGCAATCATCGATCCGATACGACCAAAGCATGAGCACAAACCCACACCAGTTGTGCGTACCACAGTTGGGAATATTTCACCCGCATATAAATATACATTTGGAAAAGTTAAAGACGCACCGAAAAGACCGACTATAGCAAATACGGATACAAGTGAAGCACTCAAATTCGAAATACAAGCAATCAGTAAAAAGCCAAAGGCACTAATAAAATTTGATATAATTAACGTTAAACGACGTCCTGAATATTTGGTCATAAATATGCAAATTATGCAGCCTGGTATACCCAATACACCACTAATGAAAACGTTAAGAAATATATTACCGCCCAATTTTGATATAAATTGAGCAGCCCCGTAATAAACCATGCAGGCATTCAACCATTGATAGACCATGACCGTGGTATTCTTGCATAAATTGGGTGTGCGAAACAAATCGAAAACTGTACCCCTTTTCTTAAGTGTATTCGGATCCGATATGAAGATCTGATAGGCTTCTTCCATCTGTGGTCGTATAAGTTGTATATTTTCAAAAGAACGACCATTCTTTTTCGCAATCTTTTCAACGAGCGTTATAGCTTTGTCCAGGTGGCCTGTCGTAAACAGCCACCGCGGTGACTCTGATACCAAGCATACGTACATGAGGTAGATAATTGAAATTGAAGAAATGCATAAATGGAAATAATGCCAGTCGCGTAAAAAATAAGAAAATAACGGGAGTAAAGCGTGACCCATAAAAAACGGTATTTGATATAAAATCGACATCGCTTCACGTCTACTGGGGCCGATAATTTCCATAATCAAAACGAAACTGTAAATAAAGCAATTGTCGTTATAGTCGCTAGCAGGTAAAAAAATATCTATTCATACTAACCTCGTAGTCATTTGGCCACCGGTGGCGACTGCAGTGAGAAATCTTAAAGTTATGTACATGATATAATGCATCGAAAATGAAGCTATAACGCCGCAAACAAGCTGCATTATACACTCAACCAAGAACACTTTACGACGCCCGAATCTAAAATAATGAATACAAAATCCATTATTATATCCATTAGAGAGATTCAAAGCTTAAAGGTCATGTACATTTTGCTTGAGCGTAAAAATTTTGGACAGATCTATGTATTTCTCCTGCTGGCAGAAGCATCGATAAAGAAAGCGAAAAATATAACTTTTATTCTCTTTTTGATCTCCATAAACCACAAGTCCACAAATAAAAAATAAAATTATCAATTTCGATAGAACATGTATTATGGATATTTTGAATATTCAAGCCGTTTAGATTAAATGCTAAATGATAAGCAATATGTGTAAGATTCGTCTTAATTAGAAATGTTTGTTGCATTGTTTTCATCGCTTTTAAAAAACATTTTAAACTTACCGATCGGATAATATGCCAAAGACTATAGCGCCGACCATAATGCCGCCCATTACAGCAAATTGTGTTAAACTTGATAGCCAAAAACGATCGCAAGTCAGATCGAATGTCATTTCGATAGTTTCCGAAAAAACTGACCGATTAAAATCTGTTTGTACGCAATCCTTGGAACATGGATCAGCTTTCGGTGGCTCAACGCAATAGTATTCAGCTTTGCCCGCTACGAATAGATGAGCCAACGTAACCCAAGCCGAAGGAAATTTCGATAAAAATATTACCAAGCAAAATATTAGCTGATAACGACCCATATCTCCTAAGTGCACTATAATTGGATCAACGCGTATTTCTGCAGAAGAGCAAAAAAAAAAAAAAACAATTTTATATTCATTTTCATATCAACAATGAGTACACAATAGACAATTTTTACCTTCCTTTTGCTCCATTTTAACTAAAAAAAAAAAAGAACAAATTTAATGAACAGAATTGACGTTAAAATAAAATAAAAAAGCTATAGTAAAATGTTATGAATTATTAAAATTAAAATTATTAAACAGTAGATAACCCACAGGCACTTACTCTATATACGAACGCGCAGAGATGCTTATCAAACCGAAACGCGCGGACGTGATTTTATTAATAAAGCCTCGCAAAGTTGATTTCTTTGTTTTTTCGTTTCGAATTTTAATAACAGCTTTCAGCTAAGTTTGCACAGTGACGACACACGAAAAGTTTTAAAGCGATTAATATGTGCCGGAATCATTTAAATTTCCGAACTGAAACAATACAACGTAATAGAACGTGCTAGTGCTCAATGTATAGTAGCCTATGCATTGCGGTCTTAGTAATTAAAGCCATCGAAAGTGTGCGGCATTAATAAATATATTTCCATTAGGTATTAGATCATCTTCCTTTGGAATTTCGCTTGCTGTTCGTTTCCTTAAATAGATAGAATGTAAATTTCAAGCGATTTAAAGAAATGTGACTCTACAGCTATTTATCGAAAATTAACGGTAACTTATACTCCGTAAAAGATATCATTTAGTCAAACATATAGCTAAAGTTGCCACCTGCGTTAAGGAACAAACATTTATTTATAAAAACAGTTGTATGAAATATACATCTCATGTTTGAAATCTGAGTATAATATGCGGGAACATTATGACTGCGGGCATTTACTAAATACACATAAATGCAATTTAACGCGCCATACGGATTTCCATGTTTGCACTTGGAAGAGTGTATTAAGCTAGTCATTTTGCATGTGTATATCTCGTGAAAAAAGAGACCAAACGCGTTTTTTCTTTTTTTTTTTTTGTGTGGTCCTCACCGGATTTCGTATCCAAAATAATACCCGGCAAAACCACTCCTCTTTTTAATACTGCGCTTTTCGCTCTTCAGTTCTTATACGCATGGGAAGGCTTTAAAGTCTACGCAATGTTAAGAATTTCTTCGTAATTTAGCCACTTAATCTCTTGTAGGGATATTTACAATCACTGCGATCGAAGTTGAATTTTAATAAAAAAAAAATTTCGATAAACGTTTCTGAGGCATTTGTGGTTGGTGACTATCTGCATTTCGACTTTGTCATATTGAAATGTCAAGAGGGACGAGAGCATGTGTCGCAACATAATTTTAAAAGAAGCAAACGGAAATGGTGCCTTACTATCAAAAGATTCTATATGGCAAGGCAGAGTTAACCAAACTGAGAGCAGCGACCTATCGGTCGACGAGACCCCAACGTCGTTTTCGTCCTTACTTCCTCTTAAAGTTACCTTCGTTTGAATGTGTTTATTATATTAAACTTAGCATAAAAATTTTAAATAAATTTAGAAAACGCTGTCTTCAGCTGCTTTGATGCGTGTTATTTAATTTTTTTTTTTTTTCTGTGTATGGGAAAAATATATAAAATTAATCGTCTTTCGATTCTTTAGCGAAACGAGAAGTGAATTATCGTCACAGGAAGAATCATGCTTGCCGGCCAGCTTATCTGATAGCTAAAATCAACACATTCCAAACGCTATCTGTCGTTGAGTGTAAGTGTTTCTAAATTGAAATCGTTTTTAATAGTTTGACTCCAAAAGAAAAGGCAGCGAATTTCATTTCTTTTTAACAATTTGTTCCGACAAAGCCGTCTCTATGAGATCTTAATTGATATCGGAAGTGTGTGGATAAAAAACCGGTGGCAAATAAACAGATAGATGGATCGGACTAAATAAATTTCATTTGTACGGAATATATCTGCACATAATATTTGCTCCTACGTACACTTCTGTCTGTGCTATACCGAAGAATAAATTTAATATACTAATGCGAAGATAATGCATGTTGTTGGAAAAGGGTTAAAAGTTAGTTTGATAAAAACGCATAAATTAAAGAAGAACATATATATATATATATACGTTTTTACACTCCACACAACTACTGGTCATGTTAAGTTTACTTAGATACTTACTATAGACTGATCTTTTCGTCCGTTGATCGATTCAGAATCACCTTCTGCTTCGATTTAGGTTTCTTGTCTGTTTGTCTGATCTCTATTTTAAAGATGCTTTGATGAAATTTAGTACATTGACTTCCTGTTGAAAATTGACTGGACCTTCACTCCACAAAAAACGCCGCGTCCGAAAAAGCTCTATGTATGAATGAAAATCGTAGTTCTTAATATTTCTCGGCAACGTTGGTAAAAAGTAGAACTTCAGCAGAGAAAATATATAGGCAATACTTGGATCGGATTAAGGAATCCAGAATAACGATTGCGCATGTAAATTTTCTGCAGTATTATTGGGTTATATAGCTGTATTAGCAGAGCCCCTTTCCTAAAAACTAAGGCCGCATAATAATGGCAATGAAGACTATTTTTGGGTATCTTATGACAAAAATAGAGCAATAAGTTCTAGCCAAAAAAAAAATTAATTTTACCATTTTGAACCAAGTCGCTTTACCTTTCATGATCGTTCTACTGAGTTATGGTTTTGATATTTTATAATGAAAATAAATGGAGTATTATATTAGGGGAAGTCTTGTAGAACATTCGATAGTCGACCTTGCCGGATTGTAATGTTTTTATTTGTTTTAAAATAAATTTAATATCGCACAATGTATACATATTTTTGTACAACGCTCTTTAAGTTTTAATAACTCGATACTTCACTCAGCCATGTTTTTGCATATCGCTCTGTTTTCCGCTTTCATGTCAAAAGGGTATAATATATCTAATTTGTGTCTAAAGTAACCGCGAACGTGTTAAACAAGTAAAGAAGTTATATTCACCTTGAGACTATTTGATGCCTTATAAAATTACTGTCTATACGGATATATAAGAATTACGAAGTGCTTTCTTTAGTTGTAAGTTTTAATTCAGGATGAGTCCAAATTCGGATCGTAATACTTCGGTTTTAAGTTATATTCCTTTTAAACCAATAATTTTTAGTCTTTTTAGTAATAGCTCTCTTTTCCTGTTTCCCTTTCTTCCTAATATATAATCAAAGCTCTAGGTTTTCGCTTATTGCCGTTCCATGACTAATTACGCTCTTTTTAACAGCAACTCTTTAGTCGGTCCTAAGAAGTGCCTTTACGGTTCTTACCTATTGAGGGCAAGTTTAGGGGCGAATTATGTCCATTTTCAAGTTCGATATGTGTAATGAACTAAGAATGTGTACGCTAAGCATCAGCCTTCACGATTTGTGAGGATATGTGCGTTCCTAAAGTAGAGAGCGAATAAGCTGCCAAACGCACGGACGAACGGATCTGCAGAAACCTATTAAGAACAAACATATTCATTTGAAAGAATATCTCATAATTTGCCCTAAATGCTTAAGAATAGACGCACATTCGATGTAACATAATACACTTGCTTTCCTACACGACAATATTACAATAACAGAAAGTTTCTATATTTAATAACCCATTAATAACTCCCGAGACTAAAAGGAAAAAAAATTTTTTTCCAAAATTTTCGATGTTATCGGCAATGTAGTCTTATTCAAGTGTTAGTCCAACGTTACTTTAACATTTTGATTCCGTTTTACCGAACGGTTCAGCTTCCCGATTAACCTCATCATTTGCTCTACATCTTTTTCCCTGGAGCATCGTTTTGGGATTTGCAAAAAGATAACAGTCAGCTAAACTTAAAGAATACTACCGTTGAAATCACAATTCGAACTTCAATGTAAGGAAGCCATCGACTTGTGACAGAGCGTATATGCTTCCCTGTGAATAACAGAAAAACAACTTTTTTACGCCCGAAATTGTATGGAAAAGAGTGAATACATTGCCTTCATCTTTTGCCTTTATGGTTATGAGATATAATATCTCGATAATCGAGAATAATTTCCAGAATTTTTATACCCTGCACCATTCGCTTAAGGTAGACCCACCTGGGGTCTTATGGTGAGTCTGTTTGTCTGTCTGTCTGTCTGTCTGTTAATGTAAATTTATGTGCAAGTAACAGATCGCAATGTTTGAGATATTTTCATAAAAATTGGTACGTGTTTTGACTCAAAAACGAACGTTATTGAAAATGGTTTAGATTGGCTCACTTTTTCGACCACTGCTCATATAGGCCCTAGTTTAAAAAGTCGTTATATGGAAAAAATTTCAATTTTCAAAATTTCTCGACAAGTGCTAGGGAAGTTTTTTAAACGCCCTCTTATACAACGAGAACAGAAGTTCAAAACGGTGTAATTTTTAATGCTTCGTAATGAAAATTACATAATAGTAATTGAAAATTTAAAAAAAGTAACCATACCAAAATTGATCACCTCGCTCTATTTTCTGAATCCTACCCTGTATAAGGATTTTCACGAGGCAAAAATGTTTAAACTTTAATATGTTGTGACAAGACTTCACTCTTAGTGGTAATTTAAGATAAGAATTAACTCTACAACAATCCATGCCTATTTTTGGATCCCACCCTATATTAGGATTTGCTCGAAAATTTTTTTTTTTTTAGGGCACAAAACTTTTAATACTTTATGATGAAAATTGACCCACAATAATAATTTAATATAAAAATTGCTGAATTTCGACCACGTAACTCAATTTTCAGGAGGTTCACTTGGGCACAACCATTCTTAAGGAACGCTAAACCTTTATTTGCAAAGTGATCTAAATTTTAGTATACACTTCCATAATAGTGAGTTCATATAAAAACAGGGTATGATTTTTGGACTCTATGGCAAAAATAATAATTTTGTTAGACAATTTGTGGTAGGAGTATTTACTACTCGGCCTAGCCCGACTGTTTTCACTTGTTTCAGATATTTTCTTATGAAAACATCTCGTTTTAAGCGTCAGTGCTTTCAGCGTCCTAGGCGTCGACATTTTTCAACGTTTTTCACTAT